AGCCTGTTACTCCTGTACTCCGGGGCACTCACTCCCGGTAGCCACTGTGTCGCACCAGAGCCGTCTGTTGCCCGTGTGACTGCAGCTTCAGTCGTCGCCTCCCATCTACTCTCCTCTCGCCAGCCCTCCTCCTCCTCACTTCCCCGTTGTGACTACCACTAGCTTTGCTCATAATTGTGAACTTTAAACTATTGCTTCTTAAACTTGTGCTCAGAATGTGTGGTGACATTGTGATCCACCCTGAGCTTGTACTGCTTTGCTTGCTCTGCTGATTACACCCCACTTTGGCTATGGGGGTGTGTCAGAATATTATGCTCTAGCCTGTAGTGGGGTGCTCTGTAGCGAGTACAACCCTTCTAGGGTTTGCTATTTGTATCCCCATTCTTGCTAGTGCAACCCCTCTCTTTCGCCTAAACTCTCTTGCCTAGCTAGGACTCTCCTAGCTATGGCTCCTAAGACTACCGCTTATCTCAACAAGTGGCAGTGCGAAGGATTCCTGAGCCGCTCTCATACCATGCTGAGATCAGAAGTTGATCGTAGCCCAGGATCTACCCAGGAAGGTTCGCACGCAGTGAGATAGTTTGGTGGGCCCTTGACCTCAATAGCAGAGTGAATGTAAAATGCTTTGAGATGAATAAAACATGCAAATACAACGATATAAATATGAGTACAGGGGAATACGAAGCGACCTAGCTAGCCATGTACTCTAAGGGGTACATTCCCTTATTCGAATTCAAACCAACCGTGCGGCCCGAACAGTTACGAAACTGTTCCCGCCAGATTCATTGTCCCTGCAGCTGCCCGATGCCGTTTTTCTCCGACGGTCTAGATCCACCCTAACCGTCTGACGCTTCGAGTCAACTCTGACTCCTCGCATTCGTTCTCGATACTGCATGCCTCTTTGCTGCGGTGAGGAGTGCACAGTAATATCAAGTATTACTACTCGTAACAGTAGACACGATGGGTTGCGGCTTGCCGTGTGACGTCCGTTGAAGTTTTTGAGGAACTGCGTGTGTAAGTCTATATAATGGTTGAAAATTATCTCCTTTTGTTTGAATTCTGATAGCAGTTAGTTGTTGTGGCGTCTTCATGTTACAAACGGGAAGGCATGATTTCTTGTGCGTACGGGTGACGCTGTGCAAGGCATCTCACTTTTGTCCTCTGATGTGGCACGAGGATTCTCATTCGCCAAAACGAATTCCCCAGTGCCGCCGTGGCGATCGCCATTGGTGATCATTTCCTTCCCAACCTCGGGCAGCCATATGCAGCCCATCAGATTGCATGGCTCATCGAAGCTACAGTTTTCCGCCGCCACTAGGGCGGTGCGGTGTGCCCTAACCTCGTTCGCGGCTCGATCCCTAGGCTGGTCTGGCTTTGCAGTCTACCGAGTATGGTCTGGGCTCTGGGAGGTTCCGAACCTGTAACCTTCGCGTTTCACCTGACCTCAACCCCTTGTCAGCATGGCAAAACCTCGGTGATTGGTCGGTGAGGGTGCCGCACTCGGCGCTGGTTTGTATGCCTCCAAGCTAGTCCAGCTCCCATGACGTATGGCTCCAGGGAGGTGTCAATCAAGACCCAAAATCCACTTCTCAACGAACCGAAGTGTGAAGCCTCTAGAGCGTCTTGGATCTCCTAGCACCGTCCTCCATACCTTTGGGGTCTACTTCAAACATCACCACAATCGGGCAAATGTTGCTCCATCCACCAATCGTTGCTCCTCGTCGCAACATTTTCCGCTTCAATTGCTCCCCCCCATGCCATAGATCCCCAAGTCACCTCTCCCCCCTTCCCCACAACCTCCCACCCCCACCCCCGCAACTCTCCTCGCAACCCCGCCACTAGCAATTCAACCTGTTGTGTGAATTTCGGCTGGGCGATGTGTGCTACTTCTGTGTGGATGAGCATCAGTAGCAATGGCAGCAGCACCCACTATTCCCGAAAAGCCGTCTTTGTCGTTCCCACACCCTAAAAGCGACGCTTCGGCACCCCCGTGCCACATTTAAAGATGAGAGTCCGCTTATCAAGCGCCTGTCTGAACGTCCTTGCTTCGAGCAAGTTGCGACCTTGCTGGGCCTTGCTGTTCCGGGACTCAATCGGCGCAGATTGAAGACCAAGTTGAGCGAGAGTCGTCAACGGTTCGAGCTTCAGACTTTTGAGCAACGAAGGGGGGCGTTTCCTCGGAAGTTACAACTGGTCGTAACTACGTGGTTATTGAGTTACCAGACCTCATCAGAGTTGGGTTTTAGCGACTTGCCACGATGACGTCGGCGAAGGGAAGGCGGCAAACGAAAGCCGTGATTGGCGAGGCCCTCCTGCTGCTGCTCCTCGTCAGCACCTTCGTGGAAACCGCGGTCGCGGTGAGCCAAAAGGACGTGCGACTCGCGCTGCAGAAGATTCGGCGAAACCCGCGCCTCCAACGCCTGAACTTCAAAAAGTTCTTTCAAAAGTTCGGTACGTAGTACTATCCCGCTAACGCCACCCCGGGATTTTCTCTTTCTGGAACGAGTCGTCGCCGCGGGATTTGACGGGGTGCGGGAGGACATTAGTAAGACACCCCGCAAAAGTCGCTGTCACACCGCTGGGACCGTGAACTACCGGCACACCGTGACGTATACGCGACGGCGGTCACATTCAGAGCGCAGTCGTTCGTTCAGTCACCGTGAGCGCTAGTGGTGCCTTCACCCGCCAGCGGAAGAGGCTGGTGGGGTGTCGCTCGTTCGTGAGGCTATCTTCAGCCGTGGAGCACAAGACGCATCCGCGTCGCTTCAAACCACCGATAACCTGCATCGCCACCCCCCATGCTCCCCACCTCCCGCTCCCCTCATCTTCACGTTGTGTTCCATTCGTTTCCCGTTCACGTTCCCCCATCCCTCGCCATGATCCATTGCCCAACACAAACACGACCCTTCCATTCTTCTCCTCCCGCTCTTCCCCCCGTGCAGTGCTGCTAGCCATCAACCAGAAGGGCCCCATCACGCTCTTCCTCCCCACGGACCCCTACACCATGTACACAGCCTACTCAGCTGGCTACACCGCCCAAGACTTTGCCATTCTCGGCAAAAACAACATGATCCCCGAGTACCTTTCCTACAAGGACTTTGTGCGTGCCACTGCAGGTACAACATACACCACAGTGCTGGGTGAAAAGGTGAAGAAGTGGAATGGCAAGCGCACCAAACTGGTGGCTCTGCAGGCAGCCAAGGGCCTGCCCAGTCTTGTTATCTGGCCCAACATGTTCCAAGGGGATACTCTTGTTATTCACCTCGTGTCCCTAGCTTTGATTCCCTCATCCATGTGATGTGATGCGATGTGATGTAATGTAACGACTGTCTGATTATGTAACTTCGCTATGTGTAGAATGAATGTCACTACAAAATGTGAGGTAACAAATGCCCAATAGCAGATTGTTGCCCATCGGGCTTACGCCTGGGAATCGCCACACAATGTGGTGTGCCAACTGCTCACTAGTACCGTAAAGGTCCCACCTTAGAGGTGCTTGCTCACTGTATATTACACCAGTAATGTTAGCGGGGTGTTTACTGTTCATTCCGAACAGTACTTTCCAACTCACCCTTATCCTTATCTTCCTAGATTTCCTAGTGCCACGTGGCACTCTACTTTGTTTGCCTTCCAATTCCTAGTCCCACATTCTACTTTCCAACCTTCCTTCTTGCATGCTATATAAACCTTGCTTGTATTCCCTCATATCAACCAATTCTCATTCAACTCAGTAACTCCTTCGCCTATTTCGCTAGTAGTTCTTTCGCCAAAGTCTTCCGCCGCGCTTCATCCTCGACTTAGTCGACCCCGCTAATTCTTTAGCGGACTTAGGCCAGCAGGCCTAACAAGTAAGCAGCTTAACAAATGAGGCAAAGATGCCACCCCCCCCCCCCCCCCCCCCCCCCCCCCCCCCCCCGCGCGCAATGAGGTGCCTGCATCTCCTCATCACACTTCAAATGCAAGGCTGCAACTCCACTTGGCGATTTGCAGCCTTTAGAAAAGGAAAAGAGAAGCTGCGGTGCATCCCCCTAACAAACTCATTCCTGGCGTCCTTAGCAATCTTCTTATGCTAGCTCAATTTCAGTAAAGAAAAGTACGGAAAGGGGAATTCCTTAGTGTACCCCCGATGAAGTTACGACAAATTTGTCGTCAATTCACATATGCCTTTTCGTTAATATGACGTGATCCACCGCTAGAAGAACAGACAGTAGCCCTTTGGCTCCAGCAAAGCACCATTCACGCGTCGGTATTGGTTCGAACACCGACGCGAGATCACGTCGAACGAGTCGCGCCATCGATGGTATCCTTCAAGCCGCGGTGGAAGTGAAGAGGCGCTAATGCAAGTTCGTATTGGTCAAACACTCTCCATCTGCGTTGTAATTGGATGTGTACACCCCATCTGGAGCCAACCACGTTCACGCGATTCGGGTTTGTTGGGTCTGCATGTACACAGCCGCCATGTCGGGAGGAAGTGCTGACCAGGCCGGAACTTCGTTTTGCTTGGGAATTCGGATGTGGGTGATCACAGACGCTCAGCGTACTCCAACGTTGTATAATTAACCAAAACGTGGAATACCGCACTTGATCTCGAACCGTTGCCTCTTGATCTTGATCAGGGCTTCCTCGTCTTGCCCCCTTCCCATCCCATCCTACCCATGCCACGATGATCTGGTGTTGGCAGTGCATCTGGACAGGGAAGTCTGTCCTTCGCCCCTCTCGGTCGTCATGTTTCCTTATCTAAACACTCGACAGGGGCTTACGTTCCAGTGAAAAGAGGGCGCCACATTCTGACGGCTTCACTTTCCGCTATTTGCAGACGATCTCGCAGCGTATTACTCACTCTAGTCTCAAAGATCAAGGTTTAACGTAGCAGCTTTAGCGTAGCAGTATCGATCCGTATCCTCAACGTCTAACGTCAGACGTTACACATCCCCATCAATTTCCTTTCTCACGTCAGTCCCACGCCGTCGGATCTGCAACTTGACCGATAGTCCAGCTCAATGGCGTCGAGGACTGGGCTCTGCCGTCGTCGCTGCGATCAACCACGTCATCAAATCCTCACCTCACCGCTTTTCCTGATCCTCCCGCTCGCGCTCTTGGCGGCTAGCGCGTTACCGCAGGCGCGAGCGGTGACGCGGAAGGACTTTGCACGCGCGGTCAACAAGGTGGCCACATACGCCGGCATCCTGTTCTTTTCTCCGGGTTACAAGCTCGAGCAACTCCGTAAGTCACAAGCCATGTAATAAGATTGCTTCGCGATTCGCGCTGGGTGCGGGTTCAACAAGGTAGGCGCTTCCACAGACATTCTCCTCTGCTCGTCCGGCCTCACGCTCCAGATGCTCCGTAAGTCACAAGCTCGTGAGTAGTTTGCTTGGCGAATCGCTGCGTGAACTGGTTGCGGGTTCAGCGAGGCAGGCGCGAGCACCGGCATTCTTCTCTACTCGTCTGACTTCACGCTCGAGCAACTCCGTAAGTCACAAGCTTGTACGCTCGGTAAGTCAAACATGTGACGCAAATGGACTTTGCGCACGCGCTCAACAAGGTGGGCGCGTACAGCGATATTCTGCACTGCTCGTCCGGCTTCACGGTCGAGCAAGTCCGTAAGTCACAAGCTCAAGAATGGTTTACTTCGTGAGTCACTGCTTTTCGGACAAGCACGTTACCTGTAAGAACTGGGTGCACGCTCATCAAGGCGGGGGCGTACAACGACATTCTAAATCTAATCGTCCGGCTTCACGCTCGAGCGACCTCCGTAAGTCGTCGGATTGAGAAGTCTGTATTGGGAGCTGTGTGTGACATCGAATTACCAGCTCGCTTGCAAGTCACTTCGCGAGTTCCAGCAATTAGGAAAAAGCACGTAAAATCTGGGCGCACGCCTGAAAAAGGTCGCAAAGTATGCGACAACGATCGCAGTTCGTCGGATAGTAAAATGCTAAAGCTACTTGTACTACAATCTCGAGCAACGTCACGTCATTTGGTCAAATGGATGGACATTGAGACGTAGTACCGTTACACGCTGGAATTTCGGCACAATGCAGCACACCGCGCGTTCCTGCAGCTTTCTCGTCGCGCATCCACAGAGCGTATGACGGTCTTGCAAGTGAGAGTGTTTCTCACTTCTGCATAGTTGCGGTCCTACACTTTCTGACGCTGGACCTTTCTGCTCCAATTCAAGTTCTCTCCTTTCCATGCCTCTCTTCCCTCTTTCCCGCTCGTCATTCCCCTTCCCTCTATCTGCCGTCATCCATCTACCTTCCAGTGATGGAGGCGCGTGGCATCAAGGGGCCGGTTACCGCGCTTCTTCCTGTTCGCGGGTATTTCGCCTACACTCGTTCGCACCGGATGGGCAAGGCACAGCTTCGCAAGGTTCGGCGTTACCACTTTCTCAACGGGACGTACAGTTACGAGGATTTGCAAGGCCTGATGCGGTACAGTAAGGTCACGACCATTAACGGGCTGACCATAACGAAGACGAACAGCAACAAGTGGCCGCTGGTGTGGCTGCAAGGGGCGGCTGGTCCGCCAGCCGTGATTATAGAGAAAAACTATTACCGGGGGCTGTCGCTCACCGTCCACCTCATATCGCGGGTGCTAAAACCGAAGCTGAGATGAGATCGAGCACTGATTTTAGTAAGTATGGGGGTTGGAGGGGTGGGGTTCAGGGAGGGGGGCGCTGGGGTGTGGCAGGTCTACAATCTGGATTCAGCACTAACACTTGTGACTTTCAGCGATATGGGGTTTTTTCGATCAGCGGGGGGGGGGGGGGCTTGAGATTGTAGTTGAAACTGCTGGGGCAGAGAGGCGGAGCAAGTAAGGGCAGCATGGAAGGAGAGGAGAGCACGGAATTAAAGAACTGGGGCGGCTGAACAAGCACGGTCTGCCAGATGGCAAATCTAGGGCAGCTGAACATTTGAAGACTCCTGGTGGCTGGGTGCATTCCAGTATGGAGCTGCTTTCATTTCTGACGACCGTTTTCAAGATCATGTGAGCTGTTTTTTTTTCCTGCTAACACAGGCGATCAGGTGTCCAGCGGTAGAATGGCACCAAGCAGGCCAATTGGCAACTATTGACTAATGCAGGGTTGGGTAGATGGTGCTTAAGATATTATGCACCCAATGCCATGCTTCCGTTTTGTAGATGCTACACTGAATTGTATGTGTAGATGCCATGCTTGAATGAATAATTCTCTGTGATGCTAAGCAACTCAAGCTAGACCTGCCAACCAGGGCCCCAGAAGTCAACGAAAAAGGCTGATTAGGGGTAAAAAAGGCTGTGTTTCCAGTGCTGGGGAGTTAGTGGGGCTGAAATGGCAGCAAATTTTTTACTGTGGGCTGAATTTTCTGTGTGTGTGTGTGTGTGTGTGTGTGTGTGTGTGTGTTCCTCTGAATTTTCAGTTTTTTTTTTTTTCTAGACTACACACTGACTGATCAGAGTTGCTTCGAGGGGGTGGGCTGAAATTGCTTTAAAGGGGATTCGCGTAGGTGCCCTGAATCCTGGCTGTCTAGGTACATAGGAAGGACTGACCCCCCATCAATCACGGCGAGATGTCAAGATTTCCCGCCAACGCACTAGGAAGTGGCATCATTCCCGCACTTACCTTGCTCTGCTGTCGCCGAGCACAGGTCTCTTCGCTCGTGATTGGTTGTTTTGGACAACGACATCAGTTTCTGGCGAATGGCACGTTAACAACAACTCGCACGCACGATGCAGCAGCACAGCGCAGCCAAGCACATTGTTGCCGCGCGACTAGGCAACCACAACCACATCACCCACCCCGAACCTGCAACCAGGTTCGTGCATGCTCGCAACCGAAGCGTCGCCTTGCAACAAACCCTTCTTCACCAGCTCCTTCTTGATTACCCCCATCCCATCTTGTTCCTGCAGGCCCACCCCACCACACCCATCCTCGGCAGGGTTTCAGTTCATTCTCCTCTAGCCCGAGACAGTGCTCGACACACTCTCTCTTTGCTGTTCCGCCATTGCTGGCCATGGCGACGCCCTTTCTGATGATGAGGACGGTGCGGAGTTAGACGGCGTCGACGCTGACGCCATCGAGGAAGCCCGTACGGGCCTCGATCTTCTTCTTAGATCTCTAGGCCGCCATATTCAACCTCCACTGCCAACCCCACCAGATCCAGATCCTCCCGTTCCTGAAACACTCGCCGAGCCTTCTAGCCCGGATTCTATAAGGGCAGACGTTCCTGCGCCTGTTGAAATCTAGAGTGCAGGCATGCAAGGACATATATATAGATCACAGTACAAACAAAGTCAAGAAGTAAGCAAGTGAGAGAACGTGGACACAAGGCCTAACGCAGAGAAGTGCCGCTGATGATCACTAGGCGGAAGCGCCTTGGTGAATATATCAGCAGTGTTGGCCTTCGAGTCCACGTACGCAAGGCGAAGCTGGCCACGCTGCTGCAACTCTCGAGCCAGAAAGTAACGGAGAGCAATGTGCTTCGTTCTGTGCTCCAGTCTGTGCTCCTGACACAAGGCAAGAGCTGCCTTGTTGTCGCCGTACAGAACTGGAGGAGAACGAGGCCGCTCACCCAGGTCAGTCAGCAGGTAGGTGAGCCAGCGAAGCTCCTGTGCAGCCATGGCCGTGGCGTAGATCTCAGCCTCACAACTAGAGCTGAGAACCGAAGAAGAGCGAGTGGAACGCCAAGAGACAGAACCAGAGCCAAGGCTGAAAGTGTAACCCTGTGACGACTGCTGCGTAGCCAGGTCGTCAACCCAAGAGGCGTCTGAGTGGCCAGTGAGGACAATCGAGCCCTGTCCTCCAAGCACCAACCCCATGCCTGATGTACTGCACAAGTAGCGTAGCACCCTCTTAGCAGCCTCCCAGTGCTCTCGCCTGTGTCTCCCAGGTGCGACGAAGCGAGCTAGGATGCTAAGAGGGTACGCAAGGTCTGGTCGAGTGCAGGTCATCAGGTACATGAGGCAGCCCACAAGCTCTGGGTACGGACCACTCGGCTCTACGGACTCGTCCGAAGGTGGAGCTGAGAGCGAGTGGCTGGTAGACAGAGGAGTGGACTGAGGTGAGGAGAACTGGAAGCCGAAGCGCTGAAGGACCTGCTGCACCATGTGTGACTGAGTCAGGGTGATGGTGCGGCGTGCTCTGTCCCGGGTGATCTGCAAGCCAAGGTAACTGCGCAGCTCACCCAGGTCTGTGCACGTGTGTCTCTTCTGCAGCTCCGACTTCACAAGAGCAAGTGCCTCGGTGTCAGCAGTAGCAAAGACCAAGTCGTCGACGTACATGAGGATGTAGAACGGCGGCAGCGACGTGTCTGTGCGCAGGAACAGTGAAGGGTCTGCAGTGGAGGGAGCAAACCCAAGAGCCGCAAGTGTCGTCCTCAGTGTGTCGTGCCACTCACGTGGCGCCTGGCGGAGACCGTAAACTGGCCGTCGGAGGCTCCACTGGGTACCAGGAGGGAACGACCCAGTGAAGCCAGGAGGACGGCGCAGCCAGATCTCCTCGTGCAGGCTGCCCTACAAGAAAGCCGTACTGAAGTTAAGAGAGTGAAGCTCGTAGTCACGCTGGGCGGCAACGTGCAGCAGTACCCGAAGAGTGGTCATCTTCGGGGTAGGGGAGAAGGTCTGGAAGAAGTCAACTCCCTGTCGCTGACTGAAGCCTCGTGCAACGTAACGAGCCTTGAAGACAGGCGGAGAACCCCGCGGCCGCTTCACCCTGAAAATCCACATGCCATCGACGATGTTCGCCCCAGGAGGGGGAATCTCGTCGACGTAGGTGCCAGTGGACTTCTAGGATGCCATCTCTGCGTCCATGGCTGTCTGCCACTGAGAGGAGTAGGGACCCGAGACCGCCTCTGTGTAAGAGCGGGGGGTAGGGATGTCAAGTGCATCCGGGTCTCCCTCAGGGGCAAGCAGCCAGGCCGTGAGATGAGGTACAGCAGCCGCAAGACAGTCAAGGTCCTCCTGCCTGTCCTCAAGGACGTCCGTGCTAAGAGCACACTCACCCCCGACGGACGGAGGACAGACAGACTCAGACTCAGTAACAAGACTGGCAGCGTAGTCTAGACGACAGGCAGCAGCAAAGTCAACAAGCTCAGCGACCAAGGCAGACGCAGCAGTAGACTCAAAAGACGGGTCAGTGACAACAGTAGCTAACAGACGCGTGACAGTAGGGTGCTTAGCACGAAACCGGTCAGACTCAGGGTCCGAAACGTTAGGCAGAGAGGACGCTGGGGGAGACGGCAGAGGAACAGACTGCAGAGACGAGGAAGGACGACGCACTACGAGGTGGGCGCCGGTGACTGCCGGCTGACGCGGACGAGGAACACGACGACCGGAACGACCAGGACGAACAGGCGAGACAGGACGCGATGCAGGCTCACGACGCTCAGCAGGACCACCGGGCTGCTCAGAGTAAGGAGAAGGTGCAGGCAACGGTGAGCCAGGCTGTAACGGAAGACCAGTAGAAGACGGTAGGCTAAGAACCTGGCGAAGCGCAGAGTCAGGCGGTAGCTGAGTCGACGGAGACGGCGGAGCAAAGAACAGTCTCGGCAGCGCCGGGCCACAGGCGCCAGCAGCAGCACCTCCAGCAGCTCCAGGACCTCCAGTAGCTCCAGCACCCCCAGCAGCAGCTCCTCCAGGCTCAGCGTCACCAGCCGCAGCACCCCCAGAACCGGCACCTCCAGTCCCAGGGTCTCTAGGCTCCGTAGCTCCAGCAGCAGCACCCCCAGACCCTGAGTCTCCAGCCGCAGCACCCGCACGCTCCGTGCCTCCAGTCCCAGCAGCTCCAGTACCCCCAGTACGAGCACCTCCGGGACCAGCGGCCGCAACTCCAACACCCCCAGAAGTAGTGCCCCGTGCTCCAGGAGCTCGACCCTGACGGCGACCGTACCAGTCGTGCAGCTGCTGCGAGGTGAGGGGGACACGCGGACGAAGGCGGGCACTCCAAGGGGACCGCGTCCCAGCCCCACCCTCAGGCAGCTCAACTCCAGGCCCAGAACCCCCAGTCTCCACAGACACAGGCTCGGCACCGTCAGACGCAGTCCCCCCAGGTAGAGTACCTCCAGGCTCCTGACTCACAGACTCAGTACAGGCAGGCGCAGTGCCCTCAGACTCCACACCCCCAGGCTCAGCACCCCCAGGCACCTCACACTCACGCTCCGCACCCCCAGGCTTAGTACCCCCAAGCTCCACACCCTCAAGCTCCGCACCCCCAGGCTCAGCACCCCCAGGCACCTCACACTCACGCTCCGCACCCCCAGGCTCAGTACCCCCAAGCTCCGCACCCTGAGGCTCCGCACTCCCAAGCTCAGCACCCCCAAGCCGCGCACCCCTAGGCTCCGCACCTCCAGGACCAGCACTACCTCCAGCAGGACCAGAGTCACCAGTGACCTCAACAGGCGCAGGCACGGGAGGGTCTACCTGGGAAACACCTGAAGGGGCAGGACCTGGCGCGAGAAGAGGGTCTACCTGCGGAGGACCTGGAGTGAGGAAGAGCGGCGGGGGGGCGCGAGGGGAGGTACGGTAGGGAAAGAGACGGTAGAAGGGAACGGACTCGTCAAAGGTAACGTCCTGAGACGAAAAGACACGGCGCGAGGAGGGCTCGTAGAACTGCCAACCAGGCGCGTCAGGGGGAAAGCCAA